TAATTGCTGCTGTCGTGCCGGCGGCTGCAGGCCCGCTCCTCCTTGGTACCGCTTTCCCCCTAGGAGCGGGAAGGATGGATGAAGCTGCGGGGGACTTGAAGCAAGCGCTCCCCAGCGTGTGGGACAGCGTTCAGATACACGTGGAGGTTCATCAGAAATCAAGCAGGTCTCTCCGAGCCGAGCTTTGCTTGCCGCGACTTGGTCTGTTGCCTTTTGTCCTGGCGCACCCTGCCCTGCCCTCTCTGTGCTCCCCCGCGAGTTTCCACACTGGCGCCTCTTCCCAAGGTTGAACAAACCCGTTTCTCTCAGGTTTCTCCTTGTACATCACGTCATCCCGTCTCATAATCGAGTTGGCGGCCGTATTCCGGACTTGCTCCACTATGTCATTGTCTCTTGTACAGCAGAGCCCAAAACTGCACACAGTGCTCCACACGTGGTCTCTCAAACAGCCAGTAGACAGAAAGAATCATTTTCCCTGATATTAGCACGGTCTAAAATAAGGTTGGCCTTATTTGTAGCAGGGACACGCTGCTGACTCATTGCCAACTTGTCCACTGTACCCTTGGGTCCTTTTCTGCAAAGCTGCTTTTCATCCTGCTGGCCTCTGGTCTGTACTGTTGTCTGGGCAGTAGATGGAGACAGAAGTTCACATTTACCTTTGCTTAACTTCGAGAGATTCCTGTCAAACCATATCTCCAGCCTGCAGATGTCCCTCTGAATGGCAGCCCTGCTCTCTAGTATACTGACAGCTCTCCTTGCTTTGGTGTTATCTATAAACTTGCTGCAGTTGGTTTCCATCCCATTGTCCAGGGTGTAAATTAAGATGTAAATGCAGTGCTGGTCCCAATATCAACAGGACCACCCCACCTTCTCCGCCTGACTTACAGCTCTGCTTAGTCTGTGTACTACTAATCACAACTCTTTGAGCTGCCCAGTCCAGTCACCTTGTCCATTTATCCAGTCCTTATCTTACCAAATTAGCTATCGAGGTACTATGGGAAACTGTGACCAAGGTGTTGCTAAAGTCAAGGTGTAAAATATTCAATGCTCTCTTTTTGTCAGACATAAAAGACAAGGAACTGGGAGTTTGCACTGGGAATGCATCACTGAAGTTAAAGCCTTTCTGAAACCTTAAAATGGTATTCCTTTTCCTGTAGTTTTTGTCTTTTCTACTGGAATTCTCCTTATAGCATGTCCCCATCCTGAGGTATCAGCTGTCCTCAGGCTTGAAAGCACAATAGAGCTTCCAAGCTAAGTGTACCAAATTCAGTCTAGTAGCTTGGCTGTGAGTTTTTCTGGTTTTCCTAGTGAAACACAGATTGCATAACTGATTTCCATTCTTGAAATCTAGCTGTGTCTTTCCATGTCCTCATATATGACTGTGAACAGAGCAAATAGTATTCTTTGTCGTGTCTTTTAATGCACAAAAACAAGTATCACACTTGTTGCTTTTGTAGACAAACTGAATTTGATAGGGTTTTTTTCCCATAGATGTTATGCTAGGAGTTGAGTGGGTTTGGAAGATTTTGTGTGGGTTGTTTTATGGGGGGTGGTTTGTTTGTTGGTTTGGGGGATTTTTTTTGTGAGATGGAAGCTGTTTTCCATGTAGACTTAGTGTATGAAGTAAAGCACTCTGATATTAGTTCATACTGCCTTATAAATATCAATGCCATCAATAATGCTGTTTCTTTCTTGTTAGCACGGCCAAGAAAGAAGATATCAGGAGGAATGTGTTAAAGCTGCTCAACAGACATAACGTAGTGTTTGGTGATTACAAGTGGACAGAGTTTGATGATGTCTTCCTTAACAGCAATGTGCAGTCAGTGTCTATTGTGGATACAGAGCTGAAGCTGAAAGACAGACAGGTATTCACAGTGACAACATACAGCTCATATGCATATGAATTAGTTGTAGGTAGACTAGTGATAGCCTAAGGACATAAGCAGGACAAGGTCTGTGGGATGATGTAATATCTTTTATTAGGCTGACTGGTATAACCTGGAAAAGGTGAACAAATTTTTGGGCCTACACCCCTTGGTAAGGTCTGAAACAGAAGTAGTAGGCTTCAAGATGAATGCCAGCTGAAAACTCTAACTTTCTTATATTTAGCTTTGAATGAGAAATGTGATGTATTAAAGGTCTTTTTATGTCCATTTTAGCCTATTGACTTGAGCAAAAGCAGTCTATCTCTTCATATTTTTCATCTGAATGAAGAAGGACCAAGCTCAGAAAACCTGGAAGAAGAGAATGAGGATATCATTGCAGCTAACCACTGGGTGCTACCAGCAGGTACCTGTGTGATATTTCTGGAAGGTGTAGAGCAATTACAATGAAAGAAAATCTTGAGAAGCCTAAAGGTGTTTACAGGGTTATCTGCTAAAGGTGTTATTTCTATATATTGTTTAACTTCATCCTTTGTCAATGGGACCAATAGATTTGGACTTTCTATATCATTTTGACTGAACTACTACGGGTGATTTCACCACGTGTCATTTATTTCTGTAATACCTGTGGATGAGTGGAAGTAACTGGTCTTGTGGAATAAAATGTATATTCATAATCAGAAGCATGCAAGTTTTTAACCCTACAAGCTGCATTCCAGATTTTTATTTGGAGATCCACAAGAAACTCATCCGTTCAAACATTCATTTTCCAGAGCCCACTGCTGGCTTCCAACCCCCAAGACAGTGCTGCTCTTACATTTTCAAACAAACTATAGATTTAGAGTCCTCAGAAAAGAAGAAGGCGGCTTGCTTTGCTTTGCCAGTAGTGCGTGGCTTGCCTGTTACTATCTATCTTGTGCTTGGGGAAGTTGGATTCTGCACCTGGAAGAAGTACAGGTGTGAGTTTAGCTCAAAGAGACAGTGACTCTGAGATGTTTTTCGCTTTCTCCAGGTTGTCAAAAGCCTATCCATTACAATTCTCTCTGAGAAGAATTCAGTCTGATACTTTGACGTAATTCCCATATTATTGTGGTTTATAATTGCTCAGTCTTTTTTGTTTTCTTTGCTGAAAGCTAGAAGTTAACTGCTAATTGGTACCCAAATCACACCTTTAATTTTTTATGCATTTTTCAGCTATGTGCTTTTTTTGGTCTTGTACATGTTGATGTTAAATTAAAATCGAAAGCCACTGAATGATAAAATCATGCTTAGAACTCTCTCCTCCCACCCCAACTTTTCATAGCTCTTTATCTTGGGCAAGTGTAGGTCCATCTCCTATTGAGGGTGGAAAGAATGATGGGTTTTCTTTCATGTTATGAAATTAATAAGATTAATTTCTCCTCACAGTTATTTGAGGAAACAAAAGTTGTGAAACTGCTGAATTTGTCTGTTAGAAAGTAGTGTTTACAGTTTGAGAAAAATAACGTATTTTTCCATATATATTAATTACTGTCATAGATCTGTTATTAATCTTTAATTGTAGTTGAGAATAACTTGGAAACTTCTTTGTGTTGCAATGATAGATTACAAATTGCCAGATTGATTTATCCTAAACAGGTATATAATATATTGCTTTTCCAGCTGAATTCCATGGCCTTTGGGAAAGTCTTATATATGACACTGAAGTAAAATCACATGTAAGTTGAAAGTGAATAACAATTAAAATTGCTTGAGGTGCTTGAGTTGAAATGTAGGCTGTTTGAAGTTTGCTGCATCCCATGGAGAGGTTATTTGGAAATCACCAGCTCAAGAAAGAAATCTGATGTCTGCTTATTACACTTCTGTATTTTGAAAGGTAGTATAGTCTTAGCCATTTTGCAAAGCTTATATTGTTAAAATTGCTATATAAATTTTGATAGTTACGTACGTCTCTGATGTACACTTAACAAAAGAAGGCAGAGCTATGAGCTGAAATACCTGTATCAATGTGTACTAATGTTTTCTTATGAAACTGGGTTCAGTGATGCTCATGCCACAAATGATAAATAATTTCTTCATATGCACTGACTTATTTTACAGAAATCAGAAGTTTAATAGTTAGAGGTGGCATTTTGGTAGCAATTTAAAACTTCTCAGATGATTTTCACTTTTGCTTTAGACATATTCATCAGCCAGCATGAGGAAAACAGTGTTCTGTAGAACAGAGGAGAAATTCACTTTATTAAAATACTGCACCTTGTTTTAAGTCTCATTAATTGCATGTTTTTCTAGAAGGGGGAAAAAAAATAACTTCAAAGAGGCTTAGAAAAAATGCACGTGGCATTCTTTCAATACAGCTGCTTTTATGACAGCACTCATTAAGATGTTTATCATGCTTGTTAAAAAAAATAAAAGCTTCTACCTGAAGGTTTTGGACACAAATAACTAATTCATTAGCTTGTTTATAATACTATAGATACAGTATTCTCACTTAAGTCTTTATAACCACCTATAGTAAAGCAAAACATCCCAGTGATTGTACTTCTTCATTTATAAGGTAAACATCGATTAACACATTAATGTTTGTCTAGTTTATGGAACTGCTTTCCAAATCATCTGTGAAATGACAAGTCTATTTAATTAGACTTACTGATGTACTAAATAACAGCAACTTAACCACTGTTCACTGTAAGTATATGTTGGTAGAAAGAAGTGGTAGCTTTTAATGACTAAAACTGGAACTACTTAACTCCTGTAAAAGTAATTGTGATGAATGTTTGTTCTTTAATCCATGGAACTGGCTGGGTACAGTTGGATCCTACAGACTGAAATGGTTGCTGTGAATTTTCAAAATAGTACACTGTCGATATAATATTGAAAAACATGCTGGATGAAGTTCAAGGTTTTTTGCTGTTGCATAAGTGCTCCATCTTGGACATG